CGTTCGAGTAGAGCAGTAGTGGAAGTTCAGTTCTCCCCGCAACGTTCCACAGTGGAGAAAACCCAGGGAAGTTCCCTGTCTCCTGTCTCTGGTGGTGACCGTTGCCACCCTCCTTTCTCATCACTCTTTTGTCATTTTGAAGGGCTTGGTTAGCAAAAGATAAAGGGGCAGCACTCGGAATTCCACATTCCCGACAAAACTGGTAGGGAGAGCTGACCTACCTTACGGTTACTGTGCACTAATTTGTGTATATGCAGGTGGCTGAAGGCTGTGAGCTTGGAAGGTGGAGTTTTTCATCTCCTTTTTGTCCTTCCAAATGCAAGTTTGTTCACAGTGTTTCCCTAAAGCTTCATTAAAACCCAGTACAGACTTCAGAGCAGAATTTCCAAGTACATGCTGTAAACGTGTTTAATATTCAAAGGGATCTGTTGGTGACACCTTCCTCTTAGGATATTACCATACAAAAATATGTTGCTTCTAATGTCTTTGGAAGGAGTTGTGATTCTTCATAAAACAATGAGGTGTTCTTGGGCTTTAAATTACTTGCAAAAATAACACTGAAAAGGATGTGTTGCCCTAGGAGAGGATGAGAATTTTGTGAACATAAATGTAAGATAATTTAATTAATATTTAACCACTTTAGAGTATGATACTTCTGACAAGTTTTTAGCATGAAAACAGTGTTTCACTTCAGTGTAGTCTCGTATCTTCTACTGTGGACAGAAATCATCACAGGAAAATATTTTAACTACTTGTGACAGAAGAAGGTGCTTATGTTTTGAAACAACGTGTTAATGTTTAAATTCTTGAATATGAATGATTTTTTTTTGGCCTGGTAAGTGGGAGTATTAACCAAAGACATAGTCAAATAATATTTATTGGTTTACTTAAATATTATTATTCAAGTATTCTTTTGACACACAAATCTCAAGACAATTTATTCTGCTGTAATAGTAATTATACAAAGATATGAAGAATAAGGTTAATATGATGCATATAAATGTTCTGATATGTCAATGTTGCGTGCAGGGATACTGTGTCGGATTGAGTAATCTGAGAGAAGTAGAAATGAATCTTGGTAGACAGTTGCCATTGAATCCATCTTTAATTCAAGCTTTTATCTCGTTTCACAACATATAGCTCTGCCTATAATATTAATGTTTTACATGAAGTCTTACAATAGGCATGTTAGTGTCATTAACTTATAATATAACTCATACGTTCATTGGGAGCTTCAAAATGGAGTACCTGTACTCCAGTTAAGCAAGTATACGATATAAGCTAAGCATTAATTGTCCTTTCTTCTATAAGAAAGATATTTGATCTTTCAGTTTGAAAGAATCTTATTTTAAAAATTATTTCTCATGTAGCAAATTAGTTGCCTAAGTGTGTTGCTGTGAAACAAATGCTTAACGTACAAAACATATTTTTTTACTAGAATTTTTTTAGTCAAGGTTTAGAGTAATCATGATCTGCTTAATCCAGTAAGCATTATACACCCTCAGAGGTCTCATATTTGTTTATAATTTTAAGACATACAGGTATACATACAGATATGTTGTTCATTAACTCTTCTTCACCTTCAACACTACCTGAACTGAAAGGAAATATTTCAGTAATACTGGAATATAAGAATGCAGCATTGCTTCAAATGACAAATACTCTAAAATCAATATTTTTTTTCATGTTTTCTTAATGTGCAATTCCAGTCCCCTTAAAGCTAGCTTCTTTTGGGGGGCTCATGCATCTTTTCACTTTGAAGCATGTTCCAATGGAAGATGTTGCTCGTATACTATAAATAACAGTACAACAAGGTGATATTTTTCTATCTTATGCATTATTTCTCTCTGTAATTTTAAGAAACATAGATATGCATATATGTATATATATATATATACACATATACATTGCATATTACTGAACAGGAAGGTTTTGGGGGGTGGTTTTCATAGTTCATAATATATTCTGTTGGTTGTCTGCATTGTTTTCTTTCCATCAGCCATCAGTATAAATATGAAGCCTTCTAATAAATTATGACATAAATACATTAAATACAAAGTCTCTTATATAAAAAAAGGATTCTACCTTAGTTGTAGATATATATGAGAAAGCTTTGTCAATAATAACCACAAGATAATACTACAGTTCTGTTTGCATATAATAGGAATGCGATGTGCTATCCTTTGTTCTGTGTTCAAATAAACTTTCTTGCATTTATTTAAGTATATTACTAAGAAAATATGCACACTAGCTGATTTTCACAAATCAAAAACTTGGTCTATGTCCTTATTCAGCTTCTGATCTGGCATGACTTATGAGAAATCGCAATTTAATTAGTTGGGAGGAACTTGTGTGTAAGAACAAACAAAAATTGGAATTAATTTGTAGCTATTTTGAGTTGCTATTAGTTTTTTTTATATTCATCTGCTTATATGTCATATAGATTTTTCCCTTAATTATGAGACAAAAAAAAAAAACTTATTAAACTGTTAGGTCCTGTAAATCCCATGGTACAGAGGAAAATCCACTGGGATGCTTGATTTATCAAGGAATAATTCGAAAATGCGTTTTTAGACAAGGAATATCTTTTTTGTGTGGGTGTGTGGGAGGAAGATCTTGGATTCAAATGAGCAAATCTAGTAGCAAGAGAAGGACAAAGTTTAACTGAGCTAAGCCGTGCTTGGAACCTGCTTATTTTAGCAGCGTGATTACGACGTGGTCATCCCTGCCTTGCCACAGCATTTCCCCGGGGAAGTCCACCAGGCCGTGTTTCCTGGCCCTCATGAGAATCCCAACAACCTTATCGGAAATACGAACGTATCTGTCGAAGAGCTCCCCGAAGGTGACTTGGACCTTGCCGTCGCGCCGGGGCCTGCCGATGGAGGCGATGATGAAGCACAGGTCTCGCATCTCCCGGTGGATGTGGGCCTCGGCCCTCCTGGCCCTTTCCGCCGTCTTGGTTCCCTCCTTGGGGCGGCCGTAGCCTTCGTCTCCCTTGTGCAGGCGCGTGGACATGGCCAGCTGGTGGTCAAAGCCCTCGCTGAAGGGGTTCAGCTTCTGCGTGAGGATGTGCTGCTCCGTCCAGTCTTGCCATCTCTCTCTCAGGCTGTTCACGGGGCTGTATTTCCTGTGAGCTTTCCTGCTTATTTCTTCAGTAAATTTGCTGGCGCTGAAAGGAAAAAATAACGGCGTGTGAGTCTAGGGTTGCATCATATTTAATTTTGCGGTTCTGCCACTCATCTTAGTGACTTATTCACAGCAGAGCAGCTGCTAACCGCTAGATGGCATGTGCTCATTAAGTCTAAATTAGCCCTGGGGCTAATTAGTCCTCCACGCTCCGGTTTGTGCAGAAGTTTGGTTTAAGGGAAAAGGCATCAATGGAGGTGAGCGGGGAAAACCCATTTTTCCAAACTTTTGCCCGGAACCTGAAATCTGTCAAAGGATGAAAGACTCCAGGTACCTTCCTGAGCTTTGTAGCAATATCACAGCATGATTTCAAGCAGACAAGATAAATCACTGCCTCGAATGAATATGTGGGAAGAGATCAACGTGAAGAAAAAAAGAATGGAAGAAACTCTTCCAAGAGTCCAACCATCTCAAGGCAGGTGATGGGCAGATAGCAGCAGTGAGGGCAGTGACAGGCAGCTAAGGGGGAAATTAAGACACTGAGATGGCTTCCCTCTGGATTTTGTTACCTCTTTTTACTATTTTTACTCTTTTTACTTTTAAGCCTATTATTCTAGTATTATTCTCTCCTATCTCTTCTTGCTTCAGTCTTTAACTCTAATCTTAAAATCTTAGCACCATTTTTCTTTTCCCTTTTAATTTATCTTAAAATCTTAGTAGCCAAAATCACCATTTTTCTTTTCCCTTTTAATTTATATGCCTATGTGGTTGTAGAAGAAAAAAAAAAGCTTTTATTTAAGGCACATTGTAGTTTACCAATTTCTAATTTAAAAAAATGTTACTTTCACTATTGTTGAACTTATTAATGTTAAACATATGTATCAATATATATGCATATTTATCCAATCTGTCAAGTCCGTGTAGCACCTAGCATATCAATTGTGAAGCTTGTGAACGTTAACCTACTGTAACAAGTGATTTACCTGTAACAACCCCAAAAGCCCCAGTGTTAACCAAAATCATAACCCTGAATTCACCCTTAACCTGCAGGACTGCATTGCCCAGGCTCTGTACTATACTTAGTCTCCTAAATGGACATGAAATAATATTTCTTAGGCTTGTAGGAGTTAACATGCAGCCTACTAAGGAAGCAGCCTGATTTCCAGCAAGCGTTACAGCTACAAAGGATGAACGTGCTCTTGAGAGGAGAAAAAAGTTGCTGGCCCTTCCTGGGATATAGGAAAGAAAAATGGGAGATTGGCTTAATCTTCTTCAAAAAGAATTACAAAAAAAAAAAAAAAAAGGGGGAAAAAAGAAGCAGCCTGAAAAAATTTTATATATGGGGAAAACATATGTGAAGCTTAGCAGAAATACAGCAATTTTGTTTCTCCTACGGTGTTTTGAAGCAATTTGTTGTAGTTGAGGTTATTTACAGATAACTGCTGCAAATATATCTTCTTTTTCCACTGTATTTGAGAAAATCTGCATTTGTGAGACCTTAATTTCTGTCAAAGGACCATGAACACAGTCTCTTCCAAAACTAATGAAGAGGAAATGGTCAAGCCCTAGGTTATTGGTGAGCTTTTTCGTTTTGACTGTTAAGGGATTATTCCTTGTGGGAGATGATCGGGCAGTTGGTTCCGTAGCAGAGTGTTGTTCTCATCTCCAATCTGACATGTTCAGATATCTGTTGTAAAACATGCTTGAAATATGTGCCCGCCTTAGTAAATGGATGCTGCCCATGGTAAGTATTAATCTGCAGCAAGCAGAGCCCAAGCCACAGCAATGGCCACGTCTGTCTGAGTGCAGACCGATCAGTGAGTCTTTCTTAGCATTTCCATCCACGTTAGCTCCAGTTTCTCATTTTCGAAATAGTGATAATAGTGATCAGAATATCGTGTAGAGACGTTGGCCCTGATCCTCCAGTCCCTGCTGTCTTGCTAGTCCCTCACGTACAAATGGAGTTGGTGAGAAATCCTTCTCCTCTCCAGCTGCCTGGTTTGCACGTGCGCAGGGGACGGCGCTTGGGGATGCAGTGGAGGTTCAGACCTTGCTGTGCGGATGGATCCTGGTGGGAATTGCCGTGTTGGCGCCAGGCTCTTCCCTCCCCGCGCTCTGCCAGAGCCTCCCTCAGGTTACGTTGCTGTCCCAGCTCGTGGGAGAACGTGTGCCCGAGTCTCCATGGAGCCCTCAGAGCCTCCTTCATCCCACTCTTAAAATCAGACATTTTATTCAGCTTTCTGAGGCAGATACAAGTTCAGACTTGGCCACACATCGGTTTCTGCTGTCTCTGCTCTAGGGGATTGCAAAGTTTGTAAAAGAGCAGGCTGGAACCAACCACATGAGTTTACAAGGTGCCCCTTTTCCACCTTGGGTGTCCGAATCCTTTTATCCTTTCCTAGAAGGAAGGAGTCATGAGCTGCTTTGGCAACTGCCCCTTGGCAAGTCTGCTGACAAGACAGCTGGTGGTGGCCATCAGCTAGGAGGGTTGTCCTGCCAGATGTCCCCAGGGAAGCAAACAGGAGAACATCTCCTGGGCCTGCTGATCCCCTGTGGGACTTGCTGTTCCTCTGCTCTTCCAGGAGGATTCCCAAGGACTATGTGTGTGTAGGTGAACTTGTTTACTACCTGGGCTCCAAATTTAACATGCAGCTGCTGTTGAGCAGTAATCTGCAAGCAAGCACCTCTTGCTGAAAAATATTACTCAAAACTCGTGTGCTATAGATTTGATTGCTGCTTAATTCATACCCTTGAGTGGAACCTGTAGTAATTGTGTGGATAAGGAATAACAGACTCTGCTCATTCTGTTTTCTTCACAACAATTATAGGTATAAAAAATCTGCCACATGTCAGGAACTTTTTTTTTTTTTTTTCTTGCTGGGAAGCAATTTGTAACAACATATTCAATTAACAGACTCTTTTGGTAGTACACTCACAGAGAAACTTTGAATGTTAGAAATCCAGTAAATATTCAAATGCTCTTTTCACAAATGATTTATAGCAGCGTATTATAGATCAATCCTTCAGATGTAGCAGCCAGGCTGGATGCTTTATACTGTTTGATTAAGGTCCTGACTCCTATGCTAGTTTCCATGCTTTGACTTGATGAATTCCAAACTCCTGAAAAGCCTCCATAGTGAACCAGAGAAACCAGCTTTTGTTAAGATGTATTTAAGAGCAATTGCTGTAATATCTCATTTGGACATTCTGGATGGGTTGCTTCAAATGATATTCACAGTTTATATTAAGCAAAATGATGAATAAGTATTTGGAAATTTTTGCTCAAGTACCGTGCCTTAGACTTGCCATTTCCTAAAATAAATGAATAGCTTTGGGCTCCTGATCAGAAAGAAACGTTATTAATCTTAAATGTAGACTAAAATATTAAGAAGTAGTGCTTTAGATGAATCAGTAAAACCAGCATCAAAATTAAATATAATTAAGATTTTCCAAATAAAACTTCCTGTGTCTGTATGTATGTATTGTACAGAAGCCAAGGCTGTAGTCAGATGATGTTGGCTCTAACCACTTAAGTGCAGAGCGATATGAACCTCATTTCCTTATCTCATTGCCCTTCCTCCTCATGAAGACAGTTTATGACACTACAGTGAAGGTGTTTTACTTACAGAGACGGTGCAGGTTGTTTAATCCTCACAGCAGCCACTTTCTCTTGGTCACCATCTTCTAGCTCAACTCTATCCTCTGCTTCTCCATAGCCGCTGTCCGCTGTATCCATGCTGTCCTCCTGGCACTTAAGCAGCAGCTCCTGCTTAGGAACCTTGTCCTCTTGTTCCATCACTTTCCAGCTCTTGCTCAGGTCTGACACCAGGTTTGAGCACTTTCTCCTCAGTGTTGGAGATAATTTGCCACTAAGAACTTTGTCGATAGCGCTTGCTTCTTCTTTCAGCTTTATCATCTCTGAGCTGCTATTGTCATGTTCATATCTATCGCTGAGGAGGCTGATGTCACCTCCCCTTTCATAAGCTTTACTGACAACGGTTTTGGAAACCTCTTTGCATTTTATGTTCAGCTTTTTGAGGGCTTCATCTGACTCCCTTGATTTTTTTTCATCCTCTCCTATTGTCACCGATTCCTTTGCCGAGGATGTTTCATCGTCTCTCACCTGCTGCCCCTTAGCAGATGTTATGGACCATTTTTCCTGCGGTCTTTCTGGCAGCGGCTGAGCCGATGAGTCTTCCCTGTTGGGTACCCACCCGGAGGGTTCTTGCGCTTGCTTGATGTTGCGGTCGCTGGCCCACTGCTGCCAGCCTCGTGCCAAGCTCACCACGAGACTGGCCGTTCGGATCTTGTGGACGGCCCTTTTCCCGGGAGCAGCGCTTGGCTTGGCCTCGGGAGCTGGCTTGCTGTCTGCTGCCATGGTGGCTTCTCCACTTCTCCTGCTCCCTACCTGGTGAATGAACTTCCCCAGCGAGTAATGGCCAGGCAAGAGAGCTGCGGAGACTTAAATAGAACCAGGAGCGGTTTGTGCCCATGGAAAATATGTCAAGCACTTCTGCCAAAATATCCCCACGGTTACAGAGTTCTTTTTTTAAAACAGCGGGATTATATTTCATCACAGCAGATGATTGATGCGTGATGTGAACAGGGTGACACATACCTGCAGTGGCAGAGCAGGAATTAGCAGCTCCTGTAAATCCTCTACCCCAGGAATACTCGGTTCTCAGTTTGTTGGAGAGTGTGATGTTCTTCTAGAAGCACAGAACTTGGGTCGAAGATCCTGAACAGCAGCAGAAACTCCTACGGGTTAAATGCTACCACTTGCTGATAACGTCAGAGTAGGGACCGTTCGTCATCACGAGTAAAAAGTAGCCCTAATTGTGGAGTGTAAATGCAGAAATACACAAGTGAAAGAGAAATTTTAGATGCATTTTTCTAAAAGGACTACAAACTATTTATTTTTATTGTTTGTAGTAAATTATATCGAAGGAAATCCCTTGGATATAATCCTGTGTATGTGGGGGCGAGGGATGGGGAGGGTTAATTTTTAGAAGTACTTAAGAATTCTGTTCTATAAGTCATCATCTATTTATTCAGAATGTACTTTGGGGGTCTAGGAACTATTTCATAATTAGCATCAGCATTTAAAATAAAGGAATTACTCTGGAAATTCTTATGCATGTTTGTATATACATAAGCACACATATATATATTGATGAATCTGGATTAGTGGATGGACAGGTGATCTCCTAACTTTTATTTGGGGTTTTGGGAAAGCAAAGTACGGCCTATTTCATTCCTGACTGCATTTTAAGGAATACACATGTAAAACATAGTGGTCACTTGGTTACAGTATAAGAAAAACAAGCTTCCAAAGAAAATGTTGTGATTTCTTAGTTCTGGAGGACTTGCAGGCAGGTGGTCTTATTTGGATTTGTAAAACTGGTTGGTGATCTGATATATCAATTGTTACATAATAATAAACAGGCAATTTCAGATAGACAATTCTGTAGTATCTTATTTCTTAGTATAATGTTTCCTAAATAGGAAAGGAAAATAGCATTGCTTTTTCCATCGGTCATACCTTGCAGTTTGCAGGATGACCTGCAGTACTTTCCGTGTGACACTCTGAACTTCAAGGAATTCCCTTGGCTTCTGGAGTGGTACCAGAGATAAATATGACCTCTTACTAGTCTACCTTTTATTTATTTATTTTTATTAATGACTGAGGTTATTGAAATAGCTTAGATCAGATCTAGCTGTTGTTTAAAAATATAAGACCATATCATAGCTCGGACTTTTGAGCAGAATTGCTCATTAATCTGAGGGATCATTTCCTCCTCAAAACTATTGGCAAAATGTAGGGTAGTGTTACTATTCGATATTTACTCATACGTTTATTTTAGAAAGAAATGTATGACCTCAGGATACTGTACTATCTCAGGGGTTGCCAGCTGCATCATGGCTCTGAAAGGGCTTTGTGATGTGTGCTGAGGCTATGTGATTAGGAAGCATGCATTACAAACCATGTTTATTTTGGTAGTGCTTAAAGCATAAGAAGAGTGGGAACTTCTTATGTTAAAAGATAGGTATATATAAGCTAGGTGTATACAGGCTTGCATGCACTATTACCTAGTGCCTAAGGAAGACATAAGTGGAAGAAAATAATGCACATCATTATGTCAAGTCCCATGATTTCTTAAGCATAAGGGTGGCCAAGGCTTCATGTATGAGTTGGAAACTAGTTTTTTAGATGCCAGGAAGGAAGGTGTGAGATGAAGCTCAAGTGAAAAATCTCAAGAGGGATGATGATGGAAGATAATATTGACAGGGACCTCCACAGTCATCTCCCTGCCATAAGGGAGGATCCATTCTACCTGCATCTACCTATAGCCTGTTTTTAAAGACTTTTAAAGATACTGTCCCGCTCTGGCTAGACAGTCACTGATGCAGTGGTTAACCAACTTAAAAGCTATACATTTTGTGTGTGTCTAGTATTCAACTCTATGACAGTGCTTTAGGCCTCCACCGCTGCCAAGGGAACAGACAAATCACCTCTTTTGGAGGGAGCCTTTCTAAATAGAGTGCTGTATTTTGTCCTCAGTCTTCTAAACGTCCTTACTTCTTCTATCTGCATGCTCTTCTGGCATTTAAAATAACAGAATCACAGAATCCCAGAATGGCTGAGGTTGGCAGGGACCTCTAGGGATCACCCAGTCCAGCCCCTGCTCCAGCAGGGACACCCAGAGCAGGGGCACAGGGTCCATCCAGGCGGGTTTGAAGATCTCCAGAGCAGGAGCCTCCACAGCCTCTCTGGGCAGCCTGTGCCAGGGCTCTGGCACCCTCACACCAAAGAAGTTCTTCCTCACATGGACATGGAACTTCCTGTGTTTAAATTTGTATCCATTACCCCTTGTCCTATCACTGACCACCACCAAGATTTTAACCCCATCCTCTCTACATTCACCCCTCATGTACTTATACAAATTGATCAGATCTCCTTTCAATCTTCTCTTCTCCAGGCTAAACAGGCCCAACTTGCTCAATCTTTCCTCATATGATAGATGCTCCAGCCCCTTAATCATCTTTGTCACTCTCCGTTGGACCCTCTCCAGCAGCTCCAGGTCCCTCTTGTCCTGTGGAGCCCAGAACTGCCCCCAATACTCCAGGTTTCGGCCTCCCCAGAGCTGAGCAGAGGGGCAGGATCCCCTCCCTCCACCTGCTGGCAACGCTCCTCCTCATGCAGGCCAGGATCCCATTGGCCTTCTTGGCCATGAGGGCACATTGCTGCCTCATGGGTAACTTGTTGTCAGCCTGGACTCCCAGATCCCTCTCTGAGGAGCTGCTTTCCAGCAGGTCAGCCCCTAGTCTGCACTGGTCCCTGGGCTTATTCCTCCCCAGGAGCAGGACCCTGCACTTGTCCTTGTTGAACCTCATGAGGTTCCTCTCTGCCCAACTCTCCATCCTGTCCAGGTCCCTCTGAATGGCAGTGCAGCCCTCTGGGGTGTCGGTCACTCCTCCCAGTTTGGTGTCACCCTGCTCAGGGTGCCCTCTCTGCCCTCATCCAAGTCACTGATGAACCTGTTGAACAGTACCAGGCCCAGTACCGACCCCTGGGGAACACTGACATCTGGAGACAAATCTGCACATGTTCCTAGAACCTTGTTACTAGTTTTGGATTGCTGCATTTCACTTAACATTTCTGACTTCTTGAATCCCAATATATGAGGGACTGACCTAATTGAGATGTTGCTAGATGTTGCTAATGTTGCTAATTATAGATTTTCTTATTTATTTATGCTCCCCTGCCTCTAGATGGACTATTCTTGTCTAGTTATATGCAGTTTCCAAAATCCCATTATTTCCCATCCTATAGAATAGAACTGGTCTCCTAAGAGACCAGTTTGTTATTGATTTTACTTCATTTTTTAAGTATGTTTAATTTTAAAAGTAAGACTTCATTCATTTATTGCTTTACCTTATAGACATATTTGTACATAAATTACTCAATGTTTTTGATGTCTTTAAAGCAAGGAATTTCATTTTCAACCACTTGTAAGTGCAATATGAAAAATGCTGTCTTCTTCCTCAGAGTTAGTGGTGAATAATGAGCACAATCTGTTTTACAGCTAAGTGTTACCAGCTGCAGTTATCAATAAAAGTCTCAAGACTGAATTTTCTTTTCATCATGAACCTGCTGAAGAACATTGTGTCAGAACATCATATTTTGCCAACTATCAGAAAAACTTGTGCAAATGGTCAGAGGTCTTGATTTCCTTTAAATTTAAGTTTGCATCAAACTTCACGTCCAATAACAGTAACAGGCAAATGTGTTTAATTCTTTCTACAGTTTTGTCTGTAATTCAGGTGTTTTCTGAGTTCAAAAAATGTACCACTGCTGCATCTTTGGACTCAATTCTTTAGGTGCACCTGTACCTAATGAATTTTACATTATAGCTTCAAAACTCATCTCTCTCCAGGTGAGGTAGTCTTAACTGCAAGCTGGCCCAGCAATAGGAAATCGTGCTCTAGAAAATAAACTAGGAAAAAATGAGATTTCAGCAAGCTTTTTTCACTGTAGTCTGGTAGAGATATGAGAGACCCATCACTGAGGCCAGAGATGTGTCCCCACATGTGTCTGTCTTAGGTTCCTATTATAAATCCCACTACTGAAAGAGCAAAACTCTTTGCTCTCTTGAACATATTCCTAGAAAGTTGCCCTTACTTAATAGAAAAAGGAAACTAAACTTAGGAGGATATGGAGCCTTGAAGCATTTTGACACCCTTTTCCTATTTTTGCATACAAGTCCCCCTGTTTCATTCCACATATAACATTCCTTTAGATACCCAAATACCTGAAAGGAATGTATGCAGTTTAATTAAATTTACACAGGAAAAGAAACAAAACTTTAACTTATATCCTTTTCGCCCCATTGTACCTTTAAGCATAAATACACCTTCTATTTGAATACCTGTATGAAGAGAACTGAAACAAGGAGCAAAAAGTAATGAATCAAACCCATTTAACTGTAAGTAAAAGTTTGCAGGAAATGATTTGCATTAGGCATTCGATTCTGCTTGTGGGATAAAGAAATTTCGGAAGATTATGTATGCAAGATATCTGCAAATGTGTTCCCATTGAAGATTATGATGTGACTTCATCAGTAAACAATCACTTGTTCTGATAAAATTATTTAATATTATTCTATGAGAATTTAAGTTCGTGGTTTGAATTTGGTGACGTATCTTAGTTTACAGTCTACCAAAAAGGTTTTATGGCTCTGAGTGTATGAAATTATTGGCTGCTTCTGAACCTTGTCCCCAAGAATGACATTTAATACGAGGAACTTAAAATCTTCACATAACTTTGTAATGTGAGAGAGGCAGGAGCCACACCAGAACAGGAGACCCTGAAATCAG